ATTTCAAGCTCCCAACTTGATGTCATTGTAGGAAGAGAGTTACAGTAATCTCCAACTTTATGTTCATTAGAGATTTAAGAGCATCAGTGACTTCAAGAGCATAGATAATGGTGTTGTCATAAAATAATTAGGAAGATGGGAGTTTTTAACAGTTTGATTCTCACTCTTAAATATAAACAATTAAATATGTGTATATTTAAATAAGATTTATTGGGGCTAGGGATTTAACTCAGTGGCATAAGCGCCTGCCTGGCAAGTGCGAAGTCCTGAGTTCCATCCCAGTACCACACACAAAAAAATATTTAATTGTAAGTTTGTGAAATTTTATTTTGAGGAGAGGGAGGTGGTCAGGGGTAAAACCCAAGAACTTTGCACTAAGCTACACTCCCAGCCTTTTTATTTTGAGACAGGCTTTCGCTAAGCCTCTAAATTGCCCAGGCTGGTTTGAACTTGCAATTGTCCTACCTCAGCCTCCTGGAGTACTGGAATTACAGGTGTGTGCCACCGTTCCTGGGTGTGAAATTTGATTTACATAAGTGTATATAATTTTATAATGTGTATGTTTGTCAATGAGCTCACAAGATTTTTGAAAACTTAACAATTGATTCTCATTAATTGGTATACAGCGTGTCCAACACACCCCTGCTTAGTTGGGTACTAGGGGAAGTGAGGAGCAGCTGAGCTGCAGAAGGAACGGTCTACTCAGCTGGTAGCCACTCCCTTTCTTGCAGTCCAGCTTCCGAAATATGCTGTGTTTTTAATTTTAAATGCACAATTTCATCCTCTTCTGAGCAAATTTTTATTTTTAATGTCTATGTTTAAATGTGTAATTTCACCCTTCTAATGCAAATTTTTATTTTTAAACATGCAATTGCACCTTTTGTGAAACCCCAATAAACCCCAGGTGGAAATGCTTTGCAAATGGGATGGTCAATCATGGCATGCTTACCCAACCAAGAAGCTTGATTCTTATAAAATAAGTACCCACTCCCTCCTTATCTCAGCTCAATTTCCAACTCCCTCTCAGAATTGTAAAAATCAAAAAGTCCATCTTTCCTTTCCCCCATCAAAGTGAATTTCTCATTTCTCCCGGTGATAATTCTTATCCTTCCCTATAAGTCCTTCCCATTCCCTTGACACACACAAGGTGAGAAGTGAGGGCCAAGTTCTCAACTTGACCCAAACTCATGTATCCCTGGACCCTTGCATCTCAAGATGCTGACCTAGGCGTTTCTATTTCTCAGGTCCACTGTCCCTCTGCCCAGCATTGATCAGGACATCAGGGCCATGTGGTTTTATCCATAGATTGACTTTGGACAGTTGCGTTCAGTAACAATCTAATAAGGAAACAAGATGTGGCAGACACCTGTGTGAGGTGTAAAGAAGGCAAAGTGAACAGCCACAGCCTTCGCTCAGCCTCTGACACATTGTCTGGGATTTGAAAGCCCATCTATAAATGCCTTTTGAATGAATAACAGTAATGTGTACCCGACCTTTAGTATAAAAGTTCAGGGAGTCTATTCTTGCATGTAGACTTTCAATTTCCTCTTGATGCTTTACAAATAGAAGTTTAGGCTCAGGACTTGAGACCTCTCTCTGTCTCTGTCTCTGTCTCTGTCTCTGTCTCTGTCTCTGTCTCTGTCTCTGTGTCTGTCTGTCTGTCTCTCTCTCTCTCTCTCTCTCTCTCTCTCTGTATATATATATATATATATATATATATATATATATGTATATATATATATATATCTGTCTCTCTCATCTTTCTCTCTATCTCTCTCTCCCCCTGCTTTTCTTTCTCCCTTCCCTCCTTACCTCTCTCTCCCTCCTTCACTGCCTCTGTCCCACAAGTCAGATGTGTGGTCACCAAAGGAGCCACATTATCTGGACACGCAGGCATTTCTAAATGTGGGTTTATGAAAATTCAATGCATTTCCCAATGTATTTAAGTAAAAGCAAAAACCCCCAAAGTATGACAATAATAACATCCCAGAGCGCATTAAGCAACAGGCAAGCACTCTGTTTTGAGGTTTAATATATTTGTAATATTCAAAAGAACAAATGTCTAATCACCTTTGACTATTTTCTGTCTCAACCACCCTGATCCTGATTTTAGCCAAGGGATACCCTTTCCTCTTTTCATGATGACTGATCTCTAGTTAGTATTAGTTTGGCACTTTACTGGACAGTGTGGGGATTTCAGGTCATCGTGGTACCAAGAACACTTTGGTCAGCTTGCCCAACTTTCCAACCACATCTTAGCTATTGCCAATTGTGGCTAGCTCTCTTCTAAGCAGACGTTACTGAGACAGACAATTCTGTTTTACTCTTCTGACTTTCTTATCAAATAGAGAGATCTATGCTCCCTCTGAGTCATGGACTCCTTTTATGAATACTATCTGATGGTTAAATTCAGTTTTGTATAAGTTAAGCAAAGCCAAATAACAGATTGGCCAGGTAATATGATTTTCAGCATTCATAAATAGAACAGATGTTTATTAAAATCCTCATGAATACCAAGCTCTATTGTCAGTCCTGAGGACAAAACAGTAACAGAGAATGTTGTCCCTCTGGAGGGGTCTGTGTTCAAGTACAGGAAACAAAAATAGAGGTAAAGATATACAGGATAACATTGGACAGTGATGAGAACCATCAGGAGGAACATTTCAGGTACATGGTCAGAGGAGGGCTTTCAGTGGAGAAAAGTTTTTTTTTTAATCAGAACTCTAAAATAAAGCATAGGCATGGTCTATCCAGGTACATAAGAGAGGAAGGGGCCAGTAAGGGAAGCTACAAACATAAAACACTCTGAGATAGACACGTTCTAGGCAAGTTCAAGAAAAGCCCAATGCTAATATGGCCAGGATGGAGGGAGCACCTGACAGAGGGTAGGGAATAGAGTTAAAAAGTCCCGGGGAGAAGGATGCAGAATTTTTGAAGCCTCATCAGCCAAAGACTGTGAGCTTTGTTCTGAGAGTGCTAGAAAGAGAATTCCAGTGTTCTTACCTAAGAAACTTGGTAAACTGCAATGCAAAAGTGACCATGGAATCAAGTGTTCATTTGCAAAGCTTGAAATGACTTTATACCTCCAAATACTGGTTTGTGTAGGCAGTTGAGAGTACTGTGTAGGGCTTGGCTTGGAGATATAAATCTAACTATTGCAGAAATATGTCAGACTATACAACTGAATGAGAAACTGGATGATTTTAGATAAGGAAGAGAAGTCTGAGTACTGAACCCTGAGATATTCCAGTATTGAGAGGTCTGGGAGAGAAGACCACCAAGGAAACTGAAAAGAGTAAGCCAAGGAAGCAAAAGGAAAGTCCGGAGAGTGTAGTCTTCCAGGAACAAATGAAGGCAGTTTCAAAGAGTGAGAGATGAACTATGCCAAATACTTCTGAGAAACAAATAAGATAAGGATGGAGAATCGATTTGGTTTCATGGGATAGAGAGTGACCCTGCAGAAGTGGTCCTAGTAAGTAGTGGGGAAGAATTCTTTTTTGGAGTCAATACAAGGTCAGGAGGGAATAAATATCATAAACACCTATCAAATAACCTTCTATAAAAGGATAATGGAGAAATGGGATCATAGTTAAGTGGGTACCTGGGACCAAAAGAAGGATTCCCAAGATGAGAGAGATTGCGTGCTTGTATGTTGTATGTTGATGGAAATAGCCCAGAACACAGTTGATAATGCAAGTAGTGGAGCAATTGTAGAAGCAAAGTGTTTAAGTGGGTGAATGCTGCATGAAAAGGCCAGCCTTTGATGGGTTATCCATCAGGTAAGGGGAGTCAATCTGGGTGGTAACAAATGGAGCTCTTCGTCCTCCCCCTCTTCGCCCTCCTCCTCCTCCTCTCCCTCCTCTTCCTTCTACTGAAACAAAAAGGAAGTTGATCAGTTAAGGAAGGAAAAAGGCAGACTGTGGGTTTTAGCAGACAGGAGGTGTTAAATAATCAGCAATAGGATTCCTAACAGTGGTTTAAAGGTTCCTGGTTTGGTTTCTGTGTTTTAAATTGGTGTTTTTGCTTTTTGGTATAGGCATGTGTCTTGCTCAGCCTTTTTGGAAAAAAAAAGTAATGCAAAATATTTCACCTTCAACATTATTGATTTTATCAGGGATTTTTTTTTTGTAGTGGAGGTCAAACTCAGGATCTCACACTTGCCAGGCAGGCACAGTACTGCAAAGTTACAACCCCAGCTCTGTTAAGGACTTTTAGAGAGCTGGGTTTACGCACCATCTACCTGATTCCACAACTGTAATGATTGATACATTGTGTCAATTTGAGAAGTTTAGAGGTATAACATATCAGGGAGCCAGGGGCCTCATCTTATAAACATTCTCATGCTATGCAAGAGGAGGCCACAGAGATGGTGTGAACGTTACACCTGCCCTCGGAGCTGGTAGCCTGCTTACAGTATGGGGGAGGAAAGAGGCTTGTTCTCCTCCGTTTGCTCTTGCTGTTTTTCTGTCTTCTGCCACCTTGAACAGTTGCCTCTGTGCCACGCCACCTTGCTTTGAAGCCAGCTGATTATGGCCTCAAAGCTTCAGAAACTGCGCTAAAGTACAATTTTCTTTCCTTAATTTTGGGTGTCAGATATTTTGCTAGCAATAAGAGAAAAGTAACTAAGACAACATCCCTCAGACTTTTCTGTTTTCCTCATCACCAGACATGATTCTGTAACTGTGTTCCCCTCAGGACCTGAATTTAGAGTCACTTTCAGTTGGTCTGTCTTTCATCCTATATTCTCATAGTGGCAACAATCATGATAAAGGAATTAATAGACCTAGATTCTAGTCCTGACTCTGCTACTTAATGTGACTTTAGAGAAGTCATTTACTCTATAGGTGCTTTATAGGCCTTAACTGTAAATCTGAGTTGAAAAAGCCCCAGTGTTCTTGTTAGTCTATGCAGCTCTACTCTAAGTAATTTTAAGGTTTCTGTCGGGATTTTTTAACTATTGAGGATACAGTAGAAACTCTTGTGGCAATCTCACAGACCACATGGACCTGGCAATCTCCAGGATAGTATAGAGGTGGGCAAAACCTTAGACTCCCATTCGTGATTCACAGCATAATGTGGTTTCCAAAGTCACCATCATAAGGGACTCTCTTCTCTTCTCTCCCACAGGTGGAAGCTAGAACTGCCGAGTATTTATCCAGCATCTGGGAAGGGACATATTGCTGCCTCTGACAGTAGAAGGAATGAGCAAGAGCATGAACAAAAGCAACCGCATCCTTGTCATTATATCAAAATCACCAGATGATTCTGTCAAGAGGAAAATAATGTCTCTTAGTCTACATAAAGAAAGCTCATCAGATTACATAGAGGATGGCTATCAGTTCCATCCAGAAAACCTGAGCTTGGTGATCCTGGGAAGCAAGAAAGAGCATGAAGGATGGTACTTTATGTACCTGGAGGAAAACGTACATATCCAGTCATTTTGTGCACAGCTGAAGCTTTATGGTAATAAGGGGGGCTTCCCCACCCCACCCTGGAAGCCAGAATGGTCTCCACTCTGAGAATCTAGGCCTTTCTCAGAAACTATGGATATTTAAAACTGGAAGCAATTTGAAACACCATCAACTCCAAGGAGCATTTATGCTACGCTTAGTGGAAATGGTTGCCATTTTTTAAATCTCCACATTGCACATTAGTGGCAACTGATTAGCCTTAGTTACCCTAACCCATTTCCAAAGGAAATGGACCAGCTAGAAGGCAAGGAGCACCAGTGGTCTTGGTTTGCAAATAAGATTTTATTTCTGGAGGGAAAAAGAAGGGTTTTTAAAAATTTTGAATACCTCCAATCAAACCCAATCTCCCTTTCGTAGATGAGGACACTGGAATCCAGAGAGGTGGCTTGCACATGCTCAAACAGGTCCGTGTAGGAGGCTCACTGCACTAGGGGTTCCGGGCAGAGAGAGCTGAAATTCCACCCACACATCACTTGCCAAGCTCTGAGACCTGGCCTCAAATCACACCTACATGGTGTGAGAAGCACTCTTTTTCTCACTTAAAGGAAGGCTCCAGTTACAATGTGGCTTACCTGCAGTACTTTAGCCAGAACCTGGGTCCACCTGGACCCAAGGACAGAGCTTTTCTGAACCTCTTTAACTGCTGTCTCCTCTTGAGTACCCTAGAGTTTGTGTCTCTTGGGACCAGAGGTTCACCTCAGCCAATGGGGCTTTCCTGCTTCTTCAAAGTAACTTCCTCATCTCTGAGGACAGGGCAGGAGCCCCACCTACATTTCTTTGAAATCCTCACGTATCTAGAGGAGGGACAGCAATACCCTTCTTTGCCCCAGTGTTTGCTTTCCTGCAAACAGTGCATGCAGAATTCCCACAGCCCTCTACCAGGTCACTGTAAGAGTGATCCTGGAGCAAAGTTGCCCTCAACATGGGAGGCTATATTTAATGCATTTTGAAGAACAGAATGCATATCATGCATTCTGTCCTTTTGTGCCTATAGGTTTTCTGCCTTTGCCATATCTTGGGATCAAATTCTTATCTTGTGGAAAAATGTCATCTGTGAAACTGTGACTCTTTTTAAGTCAAAGAAAGAAGCTGAATTTTGGCATGAGACAATCTGAGGTTCTCATCTCAGCTTGACTTTTTAGAAGCTGTATAATATTATGTAAGACCTCCCAATACTCCAGGACTCAGTTTCCGTATACATAAAGTGGGAAAATTATAACTATAGTTATAACTCTTAGGAATTAAAGAAGAGGATGGACATAAAACACCAGCACTGTGTTGCCCTATACTAGTTGTAAATAAATAAGACTTTTCCTTGTCTATTTCATGGCATGAGAGTGAGGTAGATTAATAGAGCTATGGCTATGATTGAGAGCCTATCCTTACCTTAGACACACAAAAACACTTACCACATCTCCATTCACGCACCCACACATATAGTCTGTGTCCATAGTTATGAAATTCTACCACTAAAAACTCATACAGTTGGGCCTAGGAGATTGTATCTTAAGCCAACAAACCATCATGAGACACAGCCAAGCACAGCAGTGCATGTCTCTTATCCCAGATGCTCAGGAGACTGAGTCAGGAGGATTTCATGTTTGAGGACAGCCTGAGCAACTTAGATTCTGTCTCTAAATTAAAAGTAGGCTGAGTATATAGCTAAGTGGTAGAGGATTGGCCTAGCACTCATGAGGTCCTGGGTTTGATCTCTAGCACTGAAAGAAAAAAAGGAGGAGATTAGTTGATGGAAAACTCTACTAATGGAGAACAACCTAGATCAGGAGCATCAGGAGGAACAAGAGATATCCTAACAGCACTGGCAGAAGGAGACTAAAAACAAACTCATCTTCCTTATTTTAGCTCAGTGTAGTCCTAGAATGGAGGTAGTAGTGAGTAAGGGACTGTAATAAAATTTCCCCACCAGAGATAAGTCACACAGAAGCCCCAGGGAAGAAAAGTGCCACTGGGCTGTGTAGTGCTTGGACATAACAGTCAAGTGAGAATCCCAGATGGGATCAGTTCAGTGATGGCTCCCTCCTTCCTCTTCCCCCGACAGAGCAGGTCTCCACTCCAGAAATTCAAGTGCTAAACAAAACCCAGGAGAGTGACAATGGGACCTGCAGCTTGATGATAGCCTGCACAGTGAAGCATGGGGACCACGTGGCTTACAACTGGAGCGAGGAGGGCGGCACTCACCTGCCCAGCCCAGCCAACAGCTCCCATCTGCTCTTCCTCACCCTTGGCCCTCAGCATGCTGACAATTTCTACATCTGCACCGCAAGCAACCCTGTTAGCAGCCGCTCCCAGGCCTTCAATCTGTGGAGTAGCTGCACGTCAGAACCCGCAGGTGAGTGCTCTGGGGCCAGCAAGGTTGCCTCAGGAAAGTGGATGGCTCTGTCCCTATTGCTGTGCTTCCACCGCCGAAGCCTTAACTTGACAGCATTTTAGATTTCTTGATAGTTTGCAAAAGCTGTACATGTACTCAGGGAGCACACTCTCATGTTGACCAGAATGGAATTATGATGCTTAGTTCCTGGGTAAGGAAACGAATAGGAAAAATGAACCTAGAATTCCCATCTCCAAGGCGTAATGCTTTCTCCTTGCCTCTTGCCTTGGCTCTGGCCTGCAGGGATGGCTGGGTAGGGGGAGTGCAGGTAGCAGGTCCCAGCTCCACGAATTCTAGGTTGGGTTGAAATGGTGGGCCAGTTTCACACCATCAGTAAGTATTTATTTATCACCTGTGCCATAGGAAATTGGGAATAGACAGGATGTGCGATCTCTGCTCATTAGCAAAGATCTGAAACATTTGCTCAATACTGAAAAGCATTGAAAAGAGGGACCTTGTTTTATGGAATGAAGAATAAATCTCATGGCAGGTCAGAGGCCCAGGGTAGTCAGAGAAAGGTGAGACTAAGAGCTGGATGGTAAATTTTGGGGAATAGTAGGCTGTATGGCACTTTCTTATTGGCAAGGCTCTCTCCACTGTATAATCTCTTTTGACTCCCACCATAAGCTTGTCGGGGTTAGCCTCAGTCTCGCTTGACACATGAGGACTTTGAAGTTCACAACACTTAAATACCTTCCTCACATTTCTTCATCTTGTATATAATGGAGTCAACACCTATACTGACACTTATGACTAGATATTTTTCTTTTTCTAATAAGAAAGTGTCATTGTTCTTTTGGAAGAGAGCACTGATTACATAAGCCTATCTAAACACTTAGGAACAGGCAGAGACTGCCTGTTTTTCACCAAAGGTCTTGTAACCCTGGCAAAGCTGCTGTACTGCAAGGCATTGTTTATGCTCTGACCTCCCCTTCTCTGCACCACTGGGCAGAGAACGAATCATAGTAGACTTAGTGTCTGTACAAAGGCCTTTCCCAGATGACTGGAGGTAACGAAAGAGGTATTTTAGCCAGGTCAAATCCTCAGTATTGCCTGCACCAGTGGTTTCCCTGAAGCGTTCACAGATGGATTCCTAGGGCAATAACTCACACAGCTCTCCAGTATGCCCTGAGAGGTCTTCCTCGAACTGAAGGCAGCAGCCTCTCCCAGACATTTCTTGGCAAGAGCCAGCCATCTGCCCACCTACTCCACATTTCTGGCTGCTTGCGCAGCCTGCATGCAAGCCATATTCAAAGGCTTTCCTCCCCTCGAGATCTCTCTCCCTGCCCACAGTCATGCTTCAGGACCAACAACAGAGTGCTGCACAGTGGGAACCTTACAGAATGTGGCCCAGGAAGGCCTGGATCCAATGCTGCCCTTTCTACCTACAAGGATAAATCATTCAGGCTTTCTGAGACTTAGGTTCTTCATCTACAAATAATAACGTCTAGCAAGTCTTACTCATTTACTATGTGATTTTTTATGTGGGAGCTCATTCAGTCCTCAGCACAACCAAGCAATGTAAATAGTGTTATTATCCCCATTTGACAGAGAGAAAGCAAAGCGATTAAAAGGATAAGTGAGGTCACACACAGAAAAAGGGATGGAATGGGGCTGCCTGAATTCTGATAGGTATTAGGGGGAAAAAGAATGCACTTAAGTCGCCTTCTAGTAACTGAGAGTGGTAGCATGTGCTTATAGTCCCAGCAGTTCGGGAGACTGAGGTGGGAGTTTCACTTGAGCCCACAAGTTCAAGACCAACCTAGAAAACAGAGACATCACCTAAAAAAAAAATTCCTTATAAATTACAATGAAAAAATAGTTTTTCTTTTTGTTTTCCTCTTTTCTTTCTTTCTCTCCTTTCTTCCTTCCTTCCTTTTTTCTGAGACAGGATCTCATTATATAATCGCAACTGGCCTCAAACTGCAATCTTCCTGCCTTGTTTTAACTTGTAAAGACTCTACCTCCAGACTCTTTCTCCTATCCCATTCTAAGGACTTCAACATATGAATTTTACAGTAATGTATTTCTACTCATAAGACAAGTAGAGATTTTAGTAGCTGACTAAAACTTTTTATTAGCACATTGATTTGTACTTGTAAATGAATACTATTATAAAACATTAGGCTTACTTAGACAAAATGTTTGTTGAGGGGTTTACTATATTTCCAACATTGTGCTAGGTGTCGAGTACATAAAGATTAAAAAGAACATCCTTGTCCTTAAGGAAGGAGACGGTTCAATTAATAAATAATTACCATAGATTGCATTCTGTGATAGGTTCACTACAGAAGTATGTGCAAGATAGCAAGGAGGGACAATGAATAGCTGTGTCAGGGAATGACAGAATGAGAGAGCATCAGAAGATTTAAACTGGGTTTTGCACAATAAGTAGAAATGGCCCAAGTTGACAAAAGATAGTCGTAGCATAGGGAAAAGCAGATCCAGCTGGTTCTTATTCTGTATTTCCTATAGGTGATAAGAACTAATAGAGACTTAGATAGAGGAGTAGTACCATCTATTCTGCATTTCAAAGAGAAAATTCAGTGCTTGAGAGAATAGACGGGTAGTAAAGAGGCAGAAGAAAGGGAAACTGGTTAAGGGGAAGCCTTACTTCAGCAATCCACCAAGAGATGCTGAGCCCTGGGCCAAGGCAGCGACTATTAGTTTAACAAAGACTTTTTCCATGGGGTATACAAAGGGAAATCCCAGCTTTAGATGAAATGACAGAGTCTGAGGGTTTATTACAGGTCGCCACCTAAGAACCAAGCACAGTGCTTTTAAGAGATTTGAGTTTCATTAATGAAAAACTCAAAGTTGTTGATGGTATGGAGAGACCAGATACGGTATGATATCAGCCTTGTCTTTTAACAGGACTCAGTTAAACTGAGCCATGCAAAAGGATAGTTGTACTTCGGGAGAAATTTTTTTTTTAATATTTGTCCAGGCTCTCAGTCATATCTTCATCCTTGTTTCTTTGTTCAAATGCTATGAGGTGGTTTTAATATCTATCATCAAAAAGCATTTTAATTGCAAAGTCTAAATCCTTGGGTGCTGCAAAACCCTGTCCAGGTCATGTGGAGCATGTTGACGTGGACAGTGTGTGGTTTGTTGCTGTCATTAATGACACATGTTTTGCAATAGTTACGCCTGTGATGGAGTAGTGGATGTAAACTCTTACATAGCACAGTAAAAAGGGAAAGTCCCTGGAAGCTTACCTTGAAAGGGAGACTCTCTTCAGGAGATTGACAAAACGCTGGCTCAGGAAGTCTGAATTAGCTCAATGAACAAAAAAGTCTGATGCTTGCCAGTGAGCTTCAGAGGACCTTCTTTTTAACAAAGCCATTTCCTAAAACAAAGACCTCCCATGACCCCTAGATGCTAAGGGTCAGATACCTCTCCATGATCTTTTCAATCCAGCAAGCCTTATGGTAACAGGAGACAGAAGGATTCCAAGCACTTCTCCTGGGCTAAAGCTTGGCCACCTGGCCATCTTTGCTACAAAGGAAGCTGGGAGATGTAGTCCTTATCCAGGAAGCCATGTGCCTGGACAAAACTTGTATTACTATAAAACTAAAAATAGAATAAATGGCCCTGAGACCACAAATTGTAGCCTCTGAAATATAATCTGGTTTGGTAGGCAAGTGGAAGGGATTATTCTGGAAGCCGTGAATTATCTCATTTAATTGTATTTTGAGATAGTGTCTCACTAAGTTGCCCGGGCTAGCTTTAAACTTGTGATCCTCCTGCCTCAGCCTCCCAAGTAGTTGGGATTCTAGATGTGAGCCACCAACCCAGATGAAAGTGATTGATTCTATAAAAATGTTTACTTGGATGGCCTTGGTCCTTAAATTATTATGTGGTTTGCAAGCATCCTTTCTCCACCCCCAACTTTGAGTGGAAACTTCCACCAACGAGATGATATCTCTTGAAGATAGTTAGCTTCTTCAAGGAGATGTGCTCCCTACCACTAGCCTTACTGACAGAACCACATGAAAGGCAGGAAAGAGATTGGGTACTCTCAGACCGTTACGTGAGTATCTCAGTATCTCCTGAGATGAACTACGTTTGTTTCTCGAATTCTTGTTTTCTTCTTTATCTTCCTTTAAAAATATGATTTGGAGACTTGAGAGAAGCATTTGTGTTTCTGTGACAACAGACTTTCAGAGACAAAAATGGGTGGGGTGGGGGCCTCTGGACATTTATTTTTGGAGGTGTGGCTACATGTGAAGTTACCTGGTTTAAGCCAACAAAGGAGAGGGCCACAGGGTGGAGAAATGTGCACAGGACTCTTCTAAATGTCACAGGAATTCTTGGCCAGCCTGCTCAGCTGTCTCTAAGAAATCCTAAGGGGAAAAGTCCTGGACACCTGGTTCAAGAAAGTTCCTCTGTGGGCTGGGGGTTTAGCTCAGAGGCACAGGCACCTGCTTGGCAAGCGCAACATTGTGAGTTTGAGCCCTGATACAAAAAAGAAAAAAGACAACAAAAGGAAAGAAAATTCACGTGGTATTCCTTTGTGAGCAAAGAGTTTGTGGACCCAAGGATAACTTTTGTGTCATTTGTGAGAATCATCATCCTTAAAGGCCTCATTACCTGACTGAGCAAAATGAGGGCAAGCTGTAGTCTCTGGTTTGAAAATGAGAACACAGGTGACTTGTTGAGGTCACAGACACAGACTTCCCTCCTGCTACTGCAAAGCATCTGCCAAGTAGGCCATCAGAACTTCCACTGGATTCCTGCGTTGGGGCATTCAGAAGGTGACTCTTGCATCATTTCTGAGTCTTTCTTACATTTAGCCCTCTGATTATTCTTAGCAAAAGGTTACATTAATCTTCTCCCAAATTCATTCTTTGCCCTCATATTTAATTTTATCTAAGTTCATCAAGAGTATATGAAATATCCCTTTGTTGTATATTATAGTATATGGAATGGGGGTACGATAACGAAGTACTGAGGCAATTTTAGGGAATTTCAGTCTTAAGTAGGACTTTTGTACCTTACAAGATGGAAAAATATTATATTGAAGAAATCACTACTATAATTCCTCTTTTAAAGGACACAGAGTTCATTTAGGATTGCTTGTACTAAAATAAATGCTACAAGGCTGAAAGTGAGCCCATTTAAGAGCTCAGTGTGTTCATTAGATGGCTCCATATGAGAAAGAGGTGAAATGCTGTTGATACACAAAAAGGATGAGAAACAGCAGATCCGAGCCTGTCCAGTGGAGTAACGTGCCTCAATTATAATGGAATCCATTCCTAGGGACCCTTAACTCTTCAGGGGAGAATTTAAATCACAGAATCCTTGGTGTGAGGGTTTTATTTCTGTTTTGTCTGGAAATTGATAAAGAAAATGGAAGCTTGAACCCAGACAGTGCAGAGCAGAGGATTTAGTGGAGAAAAGATTTAGTGGACCACAAAGAGATTACCCTCAGAAATTATAGAACTCATGGGCAGCTTGACCCCAACAAGCCAAAACAGCAGCATTTTGTCCATATTTATTTGAATTCCTAAAGGCATAGAGTTCCTGGCATGTAGTTTTCATATAAATATCATAATTACCAAAGCACCAAATGGGAGCACCAAATGGCCAAATGTGGAAATACTTGGACTGCTATGCAAATAAGGAGACAGCAATGCAGATAGGGAGAGAGCAGATAAGGATAAGCAAAGCATGCAGAGGAACTGAAGCATCTCTGGGCATCACTGCAGAGCTTCATTTGGACTTGAGATAAAAACCATTTGCTTGTCTTTCCAATCAGTCAACAAAAATTCACTGGGGCCCCATTATGTAGCAAGTATTGAAAAGAGCTACAAGAGAAGGACTTGTGACTCTAAATACATTTTTCTAAGTCTGTTTCCTGAAGACAAAATTGGTGGATTAGGTGAAATAAGCAATGCAGTTCCTTCAAGTTTTTTTTAATCCTCATGTTGTATATCTTAAGCTTCCTACAGATTCATATTTATATCCAAAGACCAGTAGAAAACTTAGAGTTTATGAAATATCTTTCAAGATTATGGGTAGACTGTCTTTCTGATCTAACTAGCCTAGCAGAAGCAGATCATTTATGTCCTGGGACAAGGACAGCATATGGATGTTACCCTCCTAACTGCTTTCTTTTCCAGGATCTTGGGAGAATGCTATCAAGGCTATGTTGTGCTGTCCTCCAGCCTCAGTCATGCGCCTCTTATTGATTTATATGACTTAGTGGGCGCTGGAGTTGCCAGAAACATGCACCATAGGAGAGGAGAAAGATTGACATGGAGTGGGGACATGATTGACGCAGTTTTGTCTTCTGTTAATTCCTAATTTTAGAGGCACCATTTGTTGGTCTTATTTTAGAACTCAAATGAAATTTGGGAGAACTATTAACTTTTAAATGATATAAATGGTTAAGGTGTCTGTCCTCAAATTAACCATTCATTCTAAAGTTCCCCATATGCACATGATAGAAAAAGAAAGAGAAAGCAGTCTGGAAATATTTAAGAGCCACTATAACAACATATTGGGTCAGCTCCTAGGCTGCTGGTTCTACCTCTTAGCAGTAGAGAAGCTCTTCCATGAGTCCATGAGTCCCTGTTGTAGAAAGCATAAGCCCTGGACCAATTATAATCCATTTCAGACACACACACACACACACACACACACACACACACACACACACACACACAGAGCATGGAGGATCTTAGCCACTGTCAGCCTATCGAAGTGGTCTAGTTCACAAGGCACCTCCTGCCACAGTGAGGATTCTGTCTTTCATGCAAAATCAGGCATCTTTTCAGAACTTCTGGTCATCCCCAATGTTTTGATCAAGATCATAGGACTATTGAAGATATCTGTCAGAGGCTAAAAGTTTAAGTTGGGGAAGAGAATATATAGTGAAAGAGTTCACAGTCAGGTCACTGAGATTCTTTGAAATGACTTAATGTGTGGTAAGTCTGGCAAGAAGATTTTCAAACTCAGATGGAAATGACAGGCTGGAGGCCCACTTAGACTGGGGCTACATACCTTTGTCAATGAGAATTCAGTCTGTATTTTAGCCAGCTTTATAAACATCTGGATTTGCCTGCAACTACATTCTTCCTCTGTTCCTTCCTCACAATTTTCCCACAACAAATCCCCAGTCATCCTTATAAGCCACTTTTATACATTAAGGAACACCTGGTGTTACTCTGTTCAGAAGTTTGGGGCCATTAGTTAGAATCCCAGTGCTTTAGGTGTCCCACACTGTTTATCAGTCTACTTGCCACAAGTTTGGAAGTCTCCTGGCCTTCCCAAGAAACCCAACTTTAGAATTTACCCATTTCTACTCTTGCATCAAGTTCTAGCTTTTGAGGTTCCCCATGTCTGCTTCCTTATCCATCAAATAGGAGTGAAGAAAGCACCCACTGCTGTGTGAGTCCACATATGTAGGGACAGTGCTGCAGGTGGTAAAATAATTTTCCAAAGCAAGAATAGCAGTGAAGATAAGAGTTTATTCAAGTCAGAGTACACGGTCAAGAGGGACTGCAGGCAAGTTTCCCAGAGTGGATTCTTGTAGTCAGGATGAGAGGCTGAGCTCTTTATACAGATTTGAGGACATGAAAAAGAGTTTAGCCAGCAAATGCAATTATCTGAAGAATATCTTTCTCCAGATCTTTTAGTGCCTTGTAGGTCTTCCAGGAGCATCGTATTGTGTCTAAAGTTTCTCGTTTCAAGTTGCAATTTATATTGCATTATCTCACCAAAGAAGCTCGGCTAGCTTTAGATAAGAAGGTTTATTTCCATGTACTTTCCAAGAAGATGGGTCAGGTGTCATGGGGAGGGGTGAATGGCTCTTACATTAAATATTTGGTTTTGCTGTGTGTAGTTTTGGTTAGTTTACTGTATTGCCTCTGTAGGAGCTGGGCAGGCTGGCTTCAGCTAAGGAGTTCTGCTGTTGAATGCTTTAACCTCTCCACTGCCAAAAAGCAATCAACATATCTACCTCATAGGATTAGTGTGAGGATTAAATGCATCAGTACACAGACGCACTAACACAAACATCTGGCCTATGGCAAGCATTCGATAATTGCCTATGATTATCTTACTAACCATGTATCTGACTTCCTGGGATGAGAGGTATTATTCACTATTTTCTGAAATGGTGCTCCTATTTCAAAAGATTTTGGCAAAAGTAGCAACAGGAAAGAAATCAATAAAATCTGGCTTTCAGATTTTAAGCCTGAGTGAGCCTGGCTAATTTTAAACATGAGAATGATGAGAGGAAACACTACATGCTTTTCTTTTGGTTCAGGGAGTTCAGCATAGTTATTTGCATAGAAGGACAATAATAGCACTACGATGTTTATTTTTTAAAAAGAAAAGCCGATTTCTTCCTCTTGGTGTCTCATGAGAATTGTGTGAGGGAATTTATTTTTTAAAAAGACAGCAGATTTCTTCCTCCTGGAGTCTCATGGCGTGGAACAAGGACAAAAGCACATGAAGATTTATGTGTTTTTACCCAAAATAAATACAGGACGCATTAGAAATTTAAACAAAGAAATAGGGCAGTGACATTGATGTAAAAGACATGCGATAGTGGAAGTGAAAATAAAGTATTTCAATACAAAAATCTTTATGATTACTGGAATATGAAAGCCAAGCATACTGAATAAAAATAGGGATAAGAAAACAGGTATGGAAGCATTCAGCCATCTCAAGTGACCCCCAAATCCATGCAGGTAAACGTCTGTATGGGAAGAGGATGTGGGAACAGAACACAAGACTCGGTCTTCCCACTGCTGTATAGGATATTTTAAAACTCACAGCACTTCTGAGATCACTCTTTGATTTTTTTTCAGAACAAAGACAATGGGAATTGTATTCTCTGCTGCTCCCTGGGTGTGCCCTGGGTGTCATCCTAATTCTCCTAGTGTCGATAATGCTGTGGAGAAGAAGAGGTGGGTGTCTGACAGTGAACAGTTTCTTACTTTCTGTGGTAAGCGGAGGACCTCTTCTCACGAGCAGACTTGTCCTCACCACTGTAACTTTCTGTATGGGGTCACCTTTGGAAAGTACTCAGTAAGCGTGTTCTGGAACCTTACTCAATTCAATCCGATGCAATACGTCTTCAGCCTCTGTACAGGGCATGGGGAGAAACAGAAATAAGTCAAACACATCTGCTGTTGGAGACCCAATGCAGGTAATTTCTGTTCAGCACTGTAGGAAAAACATGTACAGGAAGCTGAGAAGATCCTGACAAGAGGCTTAGTAGTATTTACCAAGGAGGAGAATTCAGAGAATTCTTGGATCTCCAACAAAAAGTCTCCCACAATATACTGAAAGCAGTAAGGCTCAGTTATTTGCCTGCCATTTAAGTTCTTAGTATGGTATATTCTCGCCTGTCCTCCAAAGTCTCCTGGTTCACTGTCACAGGCCATTGTGTTCCCATTGGCCACACTATCAACGACCCATGCAGGAGTCAGAAGATCCTTCCCTAAAACCTCCTCAAAACTAGGACAGATGCTCTGCCTGTCTTTCCATGGTGAGGGAAGAACTTAATGTTCCTAATGTTCCTATCACCAAACTGAGGGCTGGTCTCATTCTCAAGTAGATCAGTGTTACCATGTTAGAAAAGTCCTTACCTCAGCACTGTAATGTTAGTTTTGCTTACATAAGAAAATGTAGATTACAGAAAGCTGCCTTTTGTCTCATTTCCTCCATCTAAGAGTTCACACAGGAGGAGATGAGGGAGGGCTGAGTGATTCAGAAAGAAACACTGTCTCCACCATAAAGGTATGGGGGCAGAGCAACCACATTTGGCTTCTATTATAAGAAAACAATGAGATACCAGAGATGTTACATCTAAGTTTGATTCACCCACATTCACCTGGCAAAGGTGCAGGGATTTCAACCTGTGCTGTTTCTGCTAAGCACATGGTTAACCTGAAGGAAGCAGTGGTCCCTGCTACACAATTGCCTACCACCTCCTTCATCACAGCCTCATCTCTAGTTACTTATTCTTTGTAAGCCAATGGAACACACCCTAAGTCTATGGTAAAATCTACATCTAGTTGCTACACCCTTCATAAAACACTGCTTAAGAGATCTGTTGGCAACTTCTAATGGTACCACATCCAGAAGCCAGCCTCCCTCTGAATATCTTCAAATTGACTCTAGAAATTTGATCTCCAGAAGAATACTTACTAAATAAGAACATAGGCTTGCCAGACATGGTGGTGCACATCTGTAATCCCAACACTTGGGAGCCTGAGGCAGTAGGATCATTGAGAATTCAAGACCAGCCTGGGCTACAAGACGAGCTCAATGCCAGCCTCAACTGCATAGTGAGAACCTGTCTCAAAAAAAAAAAAAAAAAAAAAGAACATAGGATATGGACTGGGCATGGTGGCACATGCCTTTAGTCTCAGCTGCTTCATTGCACTGTTGTGGAGACTGGAAAGTCAATACATAGAAAGCATTGAACATGATGACATCCATGTGTGATACATGCACACATGCATACATGCCTGCATGCATACTTACATACATATGTGTGGACAGACAAATTTTTTGATGGAAGCAAATTAAAACAGTGATGTTCAAATCTCATAGCAAGGAGAGGGGTGCACTGGAAGAATCTAGAAATAGTACTTAAACTAGATTTAAAATACTTAAAGTCATGGTAACAGGACAACTCTATGCTTCAGATAAGAGCTGCAAAAGACGTTAGTGTACAGTTAGTTGTGGTAAGAAAAGAGACTCCTGGTTAGGCACAGTGGTTCACACCTCTAAACTCAGCATTTGGGAAGCTGAAGCAAGAAGATCACAGTGAATTCAAGGCCAGCTTGCACTACATAGAAAGCTCAAGGCTACTCTGGAATACACAGCAAGACTGTGCCCTGCCCCCCCCCCAAAAAAATGAAAGAAAGAAAAAAGAGAGAGAGACTCTGGAGATGACTTGATTTGTCCAGTGTAATACAGGTAATGACAGAATGAAGATGTCCTTTTTTGCAATGAGAATCAGTTGCTTTTATAACTTAAAAAAGGAAACTTTAAAATTGCCTAACACTTGAAATGTTTTGCAATTTATTAGTTTACAGAGGTCCAAGGCCCTGAGCAAAATTTCCAGTTGAAGAGCAATAGAATGACACTGCAGTTCTATTTTCCACATAGTCCCAGGTGAATCATCCCCGGGACTGTACCACAGTCTCCATCCCATACACATTCACAGCAAATCTTCCAGAAATAGGGCGATAAGAAAGCTGTGAATGAAGTGGCATGGTACCAGCCAGAGAATGCAAGAGAAACATAAATAATCAGTCTTGCTCTCAAAAAGCCTGGAATCCTGTTAGGAAGGTGCATATGCACATAAAACATCAGAGATTAAAGTAATAGTGCATGCCAAAATAGATAACACCAACATATACTATGTCCTGGGCACTGTTATTTATACATTGTAAGCAATAACTCATTGAATTATCACAATATCCTTATAAACCAGATATTATCAAATTTTGTTTCACAGATAGGGAAACAGAGATAGACAGATCAAGTAGCTAAGCCAGAATCTTGGGGAAAGATGGGTATGTAGTAGAAAATAAAGATCAAACAGAACCACAAGGGGAGCACAAGCTGGGGTCCAGAGGGAGATAACAACTATGATTTCTTTTCCCTAGGTAAAGCAAAACATTGTCAGCCAGTGATGGAAGAAAAAAGCCTCACTATCTATGCCCAAGTCCAGCAATCAGGTGTAAGTTCTATACTTTGCTTGGGAAAGACCCATCTTGTCTTCCACAGAACTCCTGACTAGTTCATATTGCACATCTGACATTCATGGTTCCTCACAGGTTCTAGAGCAGATAAGATTAGGGAATCAGAAGCCAAGAGTAAGAGTGTTACTAAAGGTCACTATACCAGCGTCATATTATTGGAAATAACAAGAAATACTTGGTAATTTTCTGGTCATCTGCTTGTTGATGGGGAAAATATGAGGAAGCTGTAAAACCATGACATATGACTCTAGGATTCTAGGATTATCCATGTTACAAAATTTTCCTCCAGGGGAAAAGGGTGCAGATTTAAGGAGGAAGGGAAAGCTTGGAAAAGCCGCCGCTGTGTGGTGTGCAGGCCTGATCAGAGTTTAGGCATTTGCAAAGCGCAAAAGTAAAACAAAGAAAGGATCTTGAGAATTCTGCTTAGAGGGTGGTCGAGGTGGAAGATGATCTGTAAGCGGGTACAGAAGAAAGGAAAACTGTGGTAGAGTGGTCACTGTATTATAGAACTTCAGACTCACTGTAATTGAGGAGCAAGCGCCCTGGAAACGAGGGAGAGGGAGGCTAAAAGGATTGTGGCTAGATATGGACTTGTAGTTTTTACAGATCCAAAGTCAATGCTAGATGGCCATGAACTGGTCCTTTGGAGTAGAACAGGCAGATTCTGGGTGAAAGAATATGAAAATAAAGACAGATTTGATTAGTACTTTGAAAAATTTCGTCAGATGTCAATACATTCACTTCTGAGGTTTAAGAAATAAATTATTGGGCAAAGTTCTTATTTCTGTTCTCTCCTATGCTCTGGAGGGTTTATTATACAACTTGTGCTCCCTGTTAGAATGAACTTCCATTTAAACAAAAAATAATCCTCTTACCCCTTGCATTACACATTTAGATGAGGCTCACCTTTACCAGGATGTCTTCCCTGCCTGCCACATCCCTTGCCACTAACATTAGCATTCCTCTTTTTTTACAACTATATGCAAAAAAAAAAAAAAAGCATAAAACACATCAGCATTTGCTCACTGTAATTTAGTTGCCTTTCATTGCCCATCATGGTAAATTAAGTCTTCCAGCCTTGTTTCCCTTCAAAAGTTTTTGGCTTTTCTTGTCCTTCTGAACTTGCATATGTGTTTAAGAATCAGCTTTTTGAGTACTAAACAAAAGAAAAATTTACCTCATTAAGATGGTACTGAAACTACCAATCTACTTACAAAGAAATGATATCTTAGGGGCTGGGGATTTAGCTCGGCGGCATAAGCACCTGCCTTGCAAGCAGGCAGTCGTGAGTTCGATCCCCGGTACCGATAAAAAAAAATTATAAAAAAGAAATGATATCTTTCAGTACTGAATCACTGTTGAGTCCTCTGACATCATAAAACCACCACCCAGATCAAGGAATGGAACATTGCCAGCAACTCTAGGAGACCTCCCACCCAGTGTCCATCCCAAAGATAGTGAAGTTTCCAGACTTCTAGAAATATAGCTGAGTTTTATTTTATTATATAAAAGTAGAATCCTCTGTTATTTTTCTTCTTAAGTCAGATTTCTTTTCTCAGTTTCACAAGATTCATAATTGTCTTTAAAATAGATATGAAGCTGCGCATGGTGGCGTATGCCTATAATCCCAGCACTTGGGAGGCTGAGGCAGGAGGATTTCTGTGAGTTCGAGGCCAGCCTGGACTACAAAGTGAGTTGAAGGCAGGCTGAACTGCATAGTGAAAGTGTCTCAAAAAGATTTTTTAAAAATGCATTCATTTTCACTGCTTTATAGAATATCAATGTGGGAACATACTTTTTAAAGAGGGTAAAATTAAACACAACAAACAGAAGAAAGCAATGTAAGAGACATAAACGTCAAAGCAAGACAATCAGAGATCTTCACTATTTATCATATTGTCTTTTGCTTTCTTCTGAATAGTTGTCCATATCTTCACATACAGAGAATTCACCCGAAACAACATAGCATAGAACTGATCTGAACAGGATGAGGAAGGCGTTTTAGATCTTCAAGACCAGACAATAGGGAAGTCAACAATGGCTGTCATAGTGTCTCTCATTCTTTTCAAAATAGCTGTCCATATCTTCATGTATGTTGAAATTATACAAAACAAAACAGGCTAAAATCACTCTGAACAAAGAATAATAGTATTGCTGGATTTCACATCATGACGCTATGGATCACTGGGTACATTAGTGTCTCTTTTTCTTCAAAATAGTTGTTCATTTCATCATGTGTTATATAATCAGTTCTCATAAACTGTTTATAGGTTCTACATATGCATTAGTCTCTACATGTGTTTCTATCCTTTCTGTACTAGAGGGAAAAACAAAGCATAGCAAGACAAAACAAAACAAATTCCTATAAAAGCATGAAACAAAAATTTCATATAAAACCACAGTACAAGGTGATCTACAATGGTTACTGTGTTGTCTCTTGTTATCTTCAATAGAATTGTCCATATCATCAGGCATAGTATAGTTGAATATAGCAGTACATAACAATATTAATAAAAACAAAGCATTGTAGACAGTGTAAAACTTCAAAAGCAGGTAATAATCAAACCAGAGTGGGTATCTTAGTGAATCTTGTTATTTTCAGTGTAGCTGCTATACTCTCAGATTTGATACTTTCAATCATAACAGATTTAAATAAAATTGTCAATACAAAACAGCAGTATAACAAACCAGATTCAAATAAGATCAGTCATGATAAAACACTGTAAGTTATACAGGGTTAAGTTAATAGTAAATTAAGGATGATTACCATAATATATCCTGCTATTTTCAGAATAGCTGTCTGTGCCCTCAAATCTAGTACAAGTAGACAATGGAACAGAATATACTGCATCTAAACAGGCAGTGTGAGTAATGTGGGTTTTAAATCCTGATACACTATTATTCTCTGCCTTCTTTTTTAAGACTATTCCTCCCCTTTCACTCCCCCAGGGAATACTGTGCATTTTTGGGTCTCATCAACACCCTCGGTTTTAAATTGGGGGAGCGACCTGCTGTTTACCTAAGTGGTTCCAAACCTTCTCCCTCCTGGACTTGATCTCTAGTTGTATTCCTTTACCTACTAACGTCTGTCTTTCCCACCTATCCTCAATTACTAGTCTGGTTGCTTCTATTACTCTCTAGTTCCTTAGCACATAGAGCATTGTTTTCTCATATTTGATTTTCTGTTCATAAAACCCTTTTTCAGGTTAATTATATTTCCTATAAAGAGCATCTTGGTGGACCCTACCTGCTGATCTACTCTGTTTGTGTTTCTTTTTTTTTTTTTTAGTGTATCAAAGCCATCTATGTTAGAGATTAGAGCCAACCTTCTCTGCCTCATTTCTGCTATGCTATTTTTCTGTCATTGGATGTCTGCTTTTCTCCTTCATTCCACCATCTGCCCCATTTGTTGAGGCCTCTCTGCTATTGTTCCTGAAATCCTGGCACTTTTTTTCTCTCCCTCTAGAATGTCCTTCACTATTCTCTGTTCAGTTGGATTGGTGGTCACAAATTCCCCCAGTTCCTCTTTGTCATGGAAGCATCTTGTTTCTCCATTAAGTTCTAGAGATAGTTTTTCAGGGCACATCAATCTGGGATGGAGGTTATTTTCTTTCAGGGTTTGGAATACTTCACTCCAAGCTCTTCTTGATTTGATGGTCTATGTCAAGAAGTCTGTCATGATTTTGATGAGTTTCCCTTTATAAATGATCTGTTTCTTTTCTCTGATGGCTTTTAGTATTCTGTTCTTATATTGAATTTCTGGGAACTTGATTATTATATGTCTGGGTGTAGCTCTGTTTTGGTTGTAGATGGCTGGAGTTCTGTATGCCTCATTATATCTGAATATCATTTCCTTTTCCTATGCTTGGGAAGTTTTCCTTGATTATTTCTGTATTTTCTTTGTGTTTACTCCTGCTTCTTCACTCACATTTTTTATTCTTAAGTTATAGATCTTCTTGTCATCTTCTAGCCTTTGTATTGTTACTGCCTGTTTCCTTGTTACTTTTAAGAGATCTTTCCTTTCATGATCACATATTGCAAACCTGTCTTCAAATTTTGATAGTCTATCCTTAGTTTCTTTCAAGCAGTTTTGCCAGCTTTCAATGGAGTTTTTGATTTCCTGGTACTCTCTTTGAATCTGCTTCATGTATTCTAGGTTTTCTTTATACTCTTCATTGAACATTTCTCTCATTTTTTTGTGTTTCTCCATTCTTCCATCTCTCTTCTTGAGAGGTGATTAGCATTTTTATTAATCTACTTATATCTTGCTTTACTTGAATTAATATTTTAGTTTTGAGCTTTTCTACAAGTCCTAAAGATATCTCTGTATGTCCACGGATGCCATGTCTGATATTGCATGTTTTCTGCCCTCAATCTCTTTTGTATTTACTGCTCCTGGATCAATATTCTCAGAATTGGGGGCTTTTCTATTTCTTTCTCTTGTCGTGGTTTTGGTTTCTTCTATATAGGTGTATAATGGAAGTCCCAGGCTCTTTCCTTGTTGGTTATGATTATTATGAAGCACACTGGCTAGGAATTTCTGCCATCTCCAGCTTGCTGTTGGTCATTGAGGTGCAATCAAGGGTGGCATATGCTGGCCCCTCCCCTGTGGGCCAGTCAACCTGTGGGGGCCTTCACCACATTAGTGTGTGCTGTACGTACAGAATTAGTTTGGGAGGACTTATTGGGTCCCAGCCAGGGGTGTGACCCATGCCAAGCAGATCCCACCAATCTGCTCTGGGAAGGGAGTAACCAATTGAAGTCACTGTCATTCCTAGTTCAGACCCATCCTGCCCAATTCTAACATGTTGTCCAGTTGGTCGCCCCTTCTTGAGGGAGAGTCTTATTCCCAGCACTCGTTGTGGGTTAATGCAAGTCCCTCACCATCTCTATTCTCTGTTGCACTCACTGACCTCTGACTTCAGTGTGACTGCAGTTCCAGTGAGTCACAGAAGTGTGAGTTCAGGCAGCTCCAGTG